GTACGAAAATGAAAAGTATTCGATCTTCCACGTGATATACCCGAGTGATACTTAATATATCCTTTTTATTTATTTTTCTTTGTGATTCTATATTTGAAATATGATAATTGCTGAATGATACTCATGAAATTGCCTTTCTTTACACAATCCATGTACAAAACTGACTTTAACAATTTAATTCGAAAAACGATAAACTCTTAAAAAGACTATTTTCTCTCCTAAGAATTTAAAACACAACCTTATTCGGAAGCACAAAACAAGTTATAGTTAAACTCCGGTTTCTATTGCACAGACCTTCTAAATTCTATTGTCCAAAGATTCCGCAAGTAATCCTTAATACCGGGAGATTTCCATCTTCCCTTATTTGTTAAAAAAATGTTCAACAAACCTGTAGGAGGAGTAGCTTTAAGGTCTGAAGTATCGGATATTTGAGCTTTGAGCATGGAGTTGAGCTGACAATCTCGACTCGCGTCCCATCTCTTTCAAGGTTTTTCAACGGGTCAGGTCGGGAAAAAGAAACTCCACAAGGTTGGACCTTTAAATCTCCTTCAAATTCGTTTGATACGAATTCAGTGGCAATTTACCTGAACCTGACCATAACTCAGCCCCTTTTTTCGACCGACCTATTGTTCAATTTATTGAGGCTTCCAGTTGGCTGCAAGGATACTTCAATCCTTCTTGAAGCCCTGGTTTCAAGAAGCATTGAAGAATACTCCCAGAAAACTTGTCCCTCGAAGACCGAGAAGGATCCTATAGTCACGGTGAATTACTCAAGAACGTTTTTCGTCACGGTAAATTACCCAAGAACGTTTTGGATCAAATTGTTTCCAGGGTTTTTCATGCTCTGGCTAAACGTGGGCATAATATGACTGTCGTCAGCCCGTATCCGCCCAAAAACAAGACGACAAATTTTACGCATATCCTGCTGTCGGCGGATCGTTGGGTAAAAAATTCACGTAAGTAACCTGTCCTTTTTAAACTCTGGAATAATTTTATGAGTAAGAACTACACAATATCTCCAAAAAAAAACCCCTCGAATTTTTTTCAAGTTGTCTTCTCAGCGTTTTCTTGACTTTTTGAAAATTGGGGAGGGGACCAGGCCAGCTTTACGTAATTCAAGGGCGGGGGGGGGGGGGGGAGGAGACGCAAGGCTACGTTACGGGTGCTTTACGAGGGGAAGGGGTGGGATAAAACCCGGAAAAATGCGTTACGTAATATTTGAACAACCCCTGAGTTACTCTCGTGGATGACCTTAGTATGCTGCCCACGAGAAAAAATTGAATGTTGATTTAGCACTTATACTGTTAAAAAATTGTGCGACAAGTATCAAATGCTGATTTTACATTAAAAAATGCTAACTCAACATTCAATTTGTTCATTTTACTGTTGACGTAGTTAACACCGCATTTTTTTTATTTTAAAATCAGTATTTATACTTGTCGCACATTTTTGTAACATTATAGATGCTCAAGAAAGATTCAATTATTTTTCGTGCGCGCGTGCTAAGGAAGAACACCATATGAGCCTTTAGGCGTTGCCAAATTTCCTTTAATAAAACACGAATTTTCTGGTTAACTTATGAATATTTTCCCTCTACTTTTTCAAATAATTTTGTTCGCGATTTCACTTAAAGTTCCTGTAAATTTCAAGGAAAAATATTCATAACATTCCTTAAAAATAAACATTATATAGGAGGAAATTTGGCGACTCTCGAATGTTCATAAGGCGTTTTTCCTTAGCACGGCAGTCGGGCAGTATGTTAATACGAGCTAAATAGTGTGGTATTTCCATAGATTGTTTAAACCGCCTGCCATCATCTGTTTTGTTTTTCTAGCAAATTCAAACATGATGGAATGGTCTTTGTCGAATAGAGTGGCAAGCAGGAGCGAATGGAAGGACATCAGTGACATGATCGTGCCGCAGGTTCTCGAATCCACGGCGTTCCGCGACTTGACCCACGGCGACAACAAATTCGACCTCATTTTCATGGAGCTTTTCTTTGCACAAGAGGCGTTGGTCGTTCTCGGGCACTTGTTCAACGCACCCATCGTGACGTATTCATTTTACGGCTATGATGCGGACATCCTCAGGTACGAGATAAAAACTGAAAGTTGATTTTTTGAAATTGCACGAGGCTTGAAAATTTTGCAAATCGTCGCTCTTATGACACACGGTGGATCGAGTCAATCAGAGAGGTCGGATATGAAATTTTTGACTAAAATTGCAAATTACGATGTTTAATTCGTCACACTTTAAATTTTGAGGGTTGCTACTGGTAGAAAATTTCACGAGGAAACCAATGGAACTACTTTTAGAAAATCAAAGTTTCGTATAATCGGAGTTATAAGCTTTTAAAGTTTCCAAATTTTGTCCGACCTCTCCCACTGAATCGGTCCACTGTGCGACGTCGCAACTCACGACCCGACCTGCTAAAAACGACTATGCATGGTAAATGGATACCCGCCACCGCGCCAACCACATTGTGTTTGGCGCAATGCGTGAAGTATCCCGGCAGTCTTGTAGGCGCTGTGCGTTTCTCAACGACCGCTACTGACCGCACTGTTTTTGACGCAATGCGTGAGGTATTCATGCACTCTTGTAGGCACTATGAGTTTCACGGCGCCTGCCGCTACGCTACAACTGGCCGCACTGCGTTTGACGCAATGCGTGAAGTATTCATGGAGTCTTGTAGGCGCTAATATATGTCTCATGCTGACCGGCGCGCAGAGGGCTTCTCCTTTCCATCTCAAGTCCTCGTCATCACTGCTCTCTGCGCCGCGCCGCTCCAGCCCAAATTGCGTGTTTGGTTTCCCTCTCAACTAGACTAATGAAAGGCGCCGTCTCTTATATATCACCGAAAGACGAACAAATTAGAAATTAATATACTTTAACTCTCAGGAAATGAGAGATTTTTCGCCTTTTCTCGTTTGTAATTTTTTTTTCTGAATCAGATTTTTTTTCTTGATACCTACATTTTAAAAAAATCACAACATTTTCCGCCCCCTAAATTTGCCGCCATGGGCCGCAGCCCCTAAATCCGGCCCCGTTTGCATAGCCATTGAACTGAAGAATGTTTGAGTTTTGACACTTAAATCACTTGATATGCACAAAATGAGAATCACTTTAAAATCTCAAAGTTTTGATTTAACGGAGTTATAAGCTTTTAAAGTTTCCAGATTTTGTCTGACCTCTCCCATTGGCTCGATCCACCGTGTGACGTATCTACATTTTCATACGAGTTCTAGAAAGCAAGGAGTCGTTATACGGAGAGCCGCGGACCGATTATTGGAATAGATCGAGAAAGTAATCGGAATATCGACAAAGTCGATCGGAGAATGTGTCAAGATTTTATCGGCGTCGATTAATTGCAGTAGTATTGAATTAAAAAATTGTATTAAAATTGCAATTTCATCGTCGGCGACATCGCAATTTCATCCATATTTATATCGCAATATTATCGAACAAAAAATCTTGATAAAATTTCAATTTTATCGAACGCGATTCACAGAGATAAAATTGCAATAAGATCGAGGATTGCGTGGAAGTCGTTTTGTGTCAGAACGGCATGCGATATATCGCATCAATTCTTTCCATTCTTTTAGCTACTCGTCGTTTTTCTCCAATTTTGAGATCGCAATTCTGTTGTCAGGAGACTATAGCACTCACTTGCCAATTTTAACAAAGAAATTCAACGTAATGAAGGCGTGGTTTTTTTTAGAGAGAAAAAACATCACATTCGATACTGATATCGAAACTGCACTCAAATGCGATGTTTTCTCTCTGAAAAAACCACGCCTTTATTACGTTGAATTTCTTTGTAAAAATTGGTAAGTGAGTCTTAAGGCTCCTGACAACAGAATTGCGATCTCAAAATTGGAGAAAAATTACGAGTACCTGAAAAAATGGAACCAATTGATGCAATATATCGCATGCCGTTCTGACACAAAATATGGCGTCCATCCAATCACCTTAAAATCGATGATGGGCTATTCAAAAATTAATTTTGACATTGATCCAAATACATTAATCGTGGTTTCCATAGTATTTTCTATTTGTGTTCAGGTACTCCGGTGCCGCAAACGCTGTCGGATACCTCCCGTTCAAAGAACTCGAGTACGCAGGCCCGATGAGTCTCGGCCAAAGGCTCGAAAACGCTTGGATTCAGTACTCGAACATGCTCTACAACGAGTATTGGTACTACCCGCATCATGACGCTCTGTTGGCCAAACACTTCCCCGGGCCGCTACCTCGCATCACGGATATGCTCAGGAATGTCTCGTTGTACTTCCTGACCGGAAACGCTGTCTTGGATGGGGCTAAACTGTACCCGCCGAACGTTATTGAGATATCCGGGCTACATACTGAGGATCCAGTTCCCTTGGATGAGGTATGAACTTATCGTTTCGCGGGCGAGATTGGCGGCACCGATAAAAAAGTGAAGTTGATTTAATGTTACACTGAAAAAAAAAAGTATCGCAATCTCAACTACACTTCCCGCTGATTTTGGCGCCAGTCATAAGAGTAGTTGCATTAGCTAGAAATGTAAAGGCACCAACCAGCGGTATAGTTAATCCAACCGCACCAATGGTAACTAGCTAGAGGTATGGCTGATCCAACCACACTTTCAGCTGACTCAACCATACATCTAGTTTGTGCAACTACTCGAATATCTGGCGCCAAAATCAGCTAGGAGTATATTTTGGCTTGTGATACCCTTTTCTCCGTGATGGATGTAAAGAAAAGCAAGAAGAACTTATCAGATGCTGCATGAACTACCCGCCACAGCAGGTGGTTTTACATAATATTGGCATTGTTAATGAAACTGCTGTAGCCGGAAATTCAGCATTTTAGAAGTTCTCGTACACTTTTTTTTACACCCAGAATGTTAAATCAGCTTCACTTTTTTTCGGTGTGGTTGTTAGTGCGACTTACTCTAACAATACTGCCGTGCTAAATGTCCAGTTACACGATCAAATTGGGCCTCTCATTGGTCGCATCCTCACCCACGGAGAAAAAAACTTCGTGCGTGGGACCCGAAGTTTAGGTCATATAGATCTCTGAAGTTTTCGGATTGAGCATCTGAACACTTCAGGTCTAGCTGCCGAAGTTCAGGTCTGACATCTGAAACTTCAGTTCTTACATCTGAAGTACTTCGGTTTTCACATCCGAACGACTTCGGTTCTCACATCCGAAAAACTTCGGTTCTCACATCTGAAGTACTTCAGATGTAAGAACTGAAGTTTCAGATGTCAGACCTGAACTTCGGCAGCTAGACCTAAAGTGTTCAGATGCTCAATCCGAAAACTTCAGAGATCCATATGACCTGAACTTCGGGTCCCACGCACGAAGTTTTTTTCTCCGTGCCTCAGGTCTTTTTCCACCAATCAGAGCTTCAGTTTGATGGCTCAATTTGATCGTGTAACTAAACCCTAAGGAAGAACGCTGTATGAGCATTCAGGCGTTGCCAAACTTCCTTTGATAAAACACGAATTTTCTGATTAACTTAACAGTATTTTCCTTCTACTCTTTCAGATAATTTTGTTCGCAATTTCAGCTAAAGTTCCTGAAAATTTCAAGGAAAAATATTCATAACGTTCCTTAAAAATGAACATTTTAAAGAAGGAAATTTGGCAACTCTCAAATGTTTGTACGGCGTTTTTCTTTAGTACGGCAGAATAAGTCAATTGGATCCGGGTTTAAATTTCGACACATGTTTTCACGGATTGGAGAATTTGCACACAAATGATGTATTGCCTCGTCTGAAAGTGTTTAAAGAGCTAATTTTGCAGTATTTTTATGAATTTTTCTGATAAGAGAAATAGTATAAAATTAGATTTAAAAGTGAAATGCATTGCCTAGTGACGTTATCGAATGGGGGCATTCCCCATTTAAATACATGTATCACAGCAGATTAGATCATTTTGTCTTATCGTATCCAATAATCGTTCAATTTATGAACCGAGGAAATTCTTGAGCTCAGTTCGCTTAGAATAGCCTCCACTTAAACACGAAATTCATCAAATTTCATACACCTGCAAACTCTCTATTGACGAATAAATCTACTGAAACAGATACCCCTCACCTCCTTTCATAGCATACATTTCGGTGAGTAGGGCCCCTTCAATTAGTAGGTAGGCAACTGACACAACACTTCGATGCAAAAACCGCAGTTTCACCACAAATTCAGAATGCATTGAAGCTTAGGCTACTTGAGTACCGAGAAAAGTCTTTTTTGCAATATGCTGAACAATGGCGTGGCGGATTTGCGATGGATCGATTGTTATGCCATTTAAACCGATGGTAAAGAATCGATTATTAAGATGTTCGCTGCGAACACCCTGTATATCAATCCTTTTCCATAGTTTTAAATGGTATAACAATCGATGTATCGCAATTTACGCCACGCCACTGATGCTGAATAAAAATTACGCCGAGTAGAAAGGATTTTACTTACGTTACTAACCTTTTGCAATTACAAAAAAAAAAATGCAGAGTTCCCATTTCCTGGAACTTTTGAGATTTTCCTGAATTTTTCCCGGGACTTTTGAAGTTCCCGAAATGTTTCGGATCTTTTGCCTTTTCCGGAACTTCTCGGAGCTTTTGAAAAAATATAAAAAGAATCCCGGAACTTTTGACGGACATGGAATGGGAATACTGAATAAATGAATACGTAAATAAAAATAAAGCGTATCCGAATGGCCTTCTTGAAGCTCGCTCACTTCAATTTTGCCCTTTGCTTTTACATTGCTTTATTTTTAGTTATATAATTTTTTTTTATCTCTCTACAGGAATTAGAGCTAATTATTAGCCGATCAAAGAGTGGAGTGATTTTTTTCAGCTTTGGATCACTTCTGAAAGCAAGTAACATGCGGAGGGAGGCAGTTCTTGCGTTCTTATCCGTTTTCAAGGAATTACGTCAAACAGTGATTTGGAAGTCAGATTTGAACCCTTCCGAATGGACTATTCCTAACAATGTCTATGTACGGAAATGGTTCGACCAGAAGAGTATATTGGGTAGGTATCCATCATGTTTCCAAATCCTCTTCGAGTACCCAAATGGAAAAGGGACTCTTAGGAACCACAATTATTGCTCATACACAAATAACATTGCAACTATGACCAGAAAAGTAGGTTGAGCCTAGGATCGACCACTTTAGTGGTGTGACCTCAGATATTTTTTTAGGGACTTTTTTCATGTGGAAAGCGGAAAATTATAAAATTCTCGATTCAGACCTTCAGAGGTATTCAATTTTCAGTTTCAATCCATTATTTGAATAATTTCATAATTTTGGAGAAACGATTCTCTCCCTAGACCCCTAAAATTTTGCCAAATTCATTTTAAGTACTCTTTGGGATCTGGTCACTGGTTTCTACTACACAAAATCATCTAGATTTTGTGTAGATACCAGCCCTAGAGTCTCAATACTACACAAAAATCCGACCAAAACTAGATCCCACCTGAAATCCGGGTGATGCCATTGGTTATACCTCTATACTGCCGTCCTAAGGAAGAACGCCGTATGTACATTCGAGAGTTGCCATATTTCCGTTGAAAAAACATGCATTTTTGACAACATTTATGCATATTTTTCCTTGAAATTTTCAGATATTACAGATTAAATTGCCTGCAAAATTGTCTGAAAATTTTAGAAAATATAATATTCGCAATTTTAATGGTAAATTCGGTTTTTATCGGAGGAAATTTGGCAACGTCTCAAGGCTCATACGGCGTTCTTTCTTAGCACGGCAGTATAGGCATGATCACTAAGCCGATTTTTCCAGTAAGAAGGCCCTACTCTGGAAAAAAAACACATTGTACCTAGAGTCCAGACTCTTAAAAACATCGACAAGAAAAAATACTCTTGATTCAATCAGATTTAAGCTTAAATCAAGAACCCAGCCTCTTAATTTGAGCGGATTTCCTTTTGATTTAAGCTTAAATCTGATTGAATCAAGAATATTTTTTCTTGTCGATGTTTTCAAGAATCTGGACTCTAAATCCACACTGGAAAAAAAAAAACACATTGGTTCTAGAGTCCAGACTCTTAAAAACATCGACAAGAAAAAGTACTCTTGATTCAATCAGATTTAAGCTTAAATCAAGAACCAAGCCTCTTAATTTGAGCGGATTTCCTTTTGATTTAAGCTTAAATCCGATTGAATCAAGAGTATTTTTTCTTGTCAATGTTTTTAAGAGCCTGGACTCTAGATCCAATGTGTTTTTTTTCCATTGTACACTCCTTACAGCCCTTTTGATCCTACATGCTTCAATTGATGAATTTGTCTTTCCTAACTAGCGCATCCCAACTGCGTCCTGTTTCTAACTCATTGTGGGATATCGAGCACGATGGAAGCAATCCGCTACGCAGTACCAGTTGTTGGGATGCCGTTCTACGCAGACCAAAATATCCACGTCGCTTACGTAGAGTATTTTGGTTATGGAGTCCACTTGTCCTACAGAAATTTAACTGAAAATTCTTTGCGCTGGGCATTGAAAACTGTTCTCGAGAATCCCCGGTAAGTTTCATTAAATACAGAATCAAACCCGATCTTTCCAAAGAGAAATAGATGATTTCATAGAGAGGCCCCTATGCAGGGTGGCATGAAACGTAAGAAAGAAATGAAATATTGGAAATTTCAGTGAAATTTCACGAGGCTGTGACCCGCACTCAAACATACACAAAAAGAGGAAAGTCACGATTTTCACACTTTGCGAAACAATTAAAGGAACCGGTATTTTTCAATATCTTTCATAAACTGAAATTTCATGAAATATTCCACGCGAAATTTCAAGATTTGCTTTACAGAGGAGGTATAGAGGGCCAATGGTCATGCTACGTGGCGCCTTTTGTCATATTCTTTTACTTCTTTTTATTTTCAAAGTGGGTTTATTTCATTAGTTTTCTTTTCCTTTTTTATTTTATTTTTATGTTTTTTTTGTCATGGGAACGGAGTTCCCCATGTTGTCACGGGAACGGAGTTCCCCATGTTGTCATGGGAACGGAGTTTTGTCATGGGAACGGAGTTCCCCATGATATTAGAATCGTTCCGTTGCTTTCGCTATGGGATTCCCTATACCTCTGCGACCTTGAGCGTTTCGCCCAGTCTCCGATTTTTGGTTGATTTTCCGATGTATCAAAAACCGTTGTATTTTTTAGCCAATCGTGTCTCTACGTCAAGTTGTGTTGATTGCTAAAATTCGCTTTCAGCGAGTTTTTTTCCACTTTGAGATGTCGTGTCTGACTGGTAAATCTGCGCAGAACCACGAAGTTCCGTTTTTAGGCAAATTCTTTTTTTTGGGAGGTTTTCATTGGCTATTTTTCGCCATCAGTTTTCTGTTCGTTGGTGCAAAAGATCGCCTACCTCGTTGCTCTTGAGAAGCCGCCATTATCCCACCTCAAATTTTAAACATAGATATAAAGAAATAATAACCATCGTACAAGGCGGAAAATTGTTCTGGAGGACCCGTTACGGATATATGAGCCAAAATCAGAACTCGATTGATGGATTTAATCCATGAATACAGAAATATTGCCTCAGTTTACTGCCGCGATAGCAAATGCAACCTGAGATGAACCTTGTGACACATGAAAGCATAGGCAAACAATGTCTCACAGAGAAATGCACTTAATCCGCTGTCTCTTAACAGCAGTGGCCGGATGTCAAGGTCGTCTTTTGTGAAGCCCCGCTCAGCGTCCGAGATCACTTAAGTGTTATCTTTTCTCCGATCGTGAATGAGCGTCGAGATAGCTCGGATGTTTGAGACGCCAAGTTAGCGCTTCCTACTCATCCTTTTTGTTGCGAGCGGGGGTTCGAATCTCGTAGACGACAGTTAATTTTTACTGGTTGTATTGAATGTTTTAGACCAATAATCTAACAATAATTAATACTTGGCAACTTAGGAAGCACATAGGTCCCTTATGATGCGTATTCGGGCATATGTGTAGAGTAAAAATATCATACGTAGGGTGTCCCAAAAGTACCGGGACTGGTTCTGTAACTTCAAAAGTAAGATAGATGCAGACATGATTTTGGTCTCATTTTAAAGATCAACCCAATACCTATCGATTAAAACCAAGATCAGCTCAATGGAATAAAAATTGACCGAGTTATGACAATTTGAAATTAGTGAGGAAAGTTTACCCCTACGGTTTTTAGGAAGATTTTTCGCTTACCAGCATTCAAAAAGTTAATATTCGTATCCACTTTTCTCCGAATCTTCCATAACTTCCTTTTGCTTTTCAAAGTACCGTCCATCAAAGCGGATGCACTTTTTCATGCGCTCTTGCCACTTATCCAACATTGTTTTCCTGAATTCTTCCTCTGGGATGGAGTTGAAGAAGTATTTTGAATTGCATTCTGGATTTCGGTCTTCGATACGAATCTTCGTCCGCGAAGCTCCTTTTTAACCGTAGGAAACATCCAAAAATCACATGGAGCCAAGTCAGGGCTATAAGGAGGATGAGGGATTGTTTCAACTCCATTTTTACTCATAAATTCACGTGTTAAGCTCGATGTGTGAGGCCGCGCTTGTCTTGATGGAGTATCCACGAAGCTTTCAAGTCCGACCGTTTCCGGGAAATGTGCATTCTCAACTCCTTTAGCACTTTGCAATAATACGCACTGTCAACTGTTGTGTTTGGTGGTACAAAATGTTGATAAATGACACCTCGAAAATGAAAAAAACACAATAAGCATCACTTTATAGGCTGACTTTTCGATTTACGGCGATGAAGAATCTTCCTTAAAAACCGTAGGCGTAAACTTTCCTCGCTGATTTCAAATTGCCATAACTCGGTCAATTTTTATCCGATTGAGCTGATCTTGGTTTTAATCGATAGGTATTGAGTTGATCTTTAAAATGAAATCAAGATCATGTCTGTATCTATCTTACTTTCGAAGTTACAGAACAAGTCCCGGTGCTTTTGGGGCACCTTACGTATACTTTACGCCGAAAAAGCGAACCTGAAACTTAAATGCGTTAACTTCCGAAAACCATATATAATCCAACGAAAATAAATAATTGGTACATAACAGCTTTCTTGTATGCAAAGAAAATAATTAAAAATGTTAAAAAAGAGATGTCAACACAAAATTACATAGCCCCTTCAATTCAGAAGATACTACAAACGAACTGTACCTTAACATTTTCATATCCCAGAAGCTAACGTTCCCATGACGAATATTGCTATCGCTAGCGATTGCAAAATCCAACTTGTTTCTCTTTACTTTCATCATTCTCCTTTTTTCTAAAAACGAATAATTAAGTAGAGGGCCCGACCCCTCATTTTGCTTTTCATTTTCTTTTTCATTTTTGCCTCCATTTATTTAATATTAAACCTCCATTCCATTTACTTTCAGCCAAAAGTCTCCCAGTGCGTCATTGCCTTTCGATACTCCCATAAGTTCGAAGCACCAGTATTGTTACTACTACTAAATTTTCGCGAAGATGTATAAAATTTTGTATACATTTGAAAGTAGAGATTTATTTCAACAACAGGAGGTCACGCCTTCTGACCGCTTTGTGGTTCAACTTCTTGACGCGGCTAGTTTTTCAGCTGCTATCCATTTCGCCTTCCTCTCATGATTTTATATTATTTATTTCAATTTAGTCAATTTTTTAAAAGTTCAAGTAAAGATCGTTATCATTCAAAGTTCTCAAATTCTTGACGCTTGGGATGATTGAGCAATCACAGATCATGGGGCGTAACAGCGGCTGTATAATGATTGACCAACTGCACACCTCGAAACTAGAGTCCCTTTATACTGAGAGTCAAGACAATTTGAATCCATTTCTGATTGGTTCCCGTATTTTAGGCCTTCACAGTGTCACAAACGGGAATAAAGATTACATTTTCACCAATTGCAAAGATTATAATCTGGAATGGGCCAGGGAATTACGGGTTCGGCAAGGAACAAACGGAATGAGAGGAGGAACGAAGAAAGGCATTTGAGAATGGGCCGATCAAAGATTACGAAAAATGTTCAATTTCTGTAATCAGTTATTCCCGTTTGTGACATCCATGAGCCGAATTGTCTTGACTCTCAGTATAAAGGGACTCTACTCAAAACACGGTGTTCTCGTCGGCAGGCGCAGTATAGGCAATTAGCACATCGGCTCGTGTGTGGAACGGTGTAGCATTTGAAGTATCTTGACGATGTCGAAGGCGCTACATCGGGTATGCCTGTTGTTACCGTCGATAATTTGAATGCGCACTTGACCACTCTTGATGAACGCATGTGACTCGGTTGCACGGCCACTAATACTATGGAAACGTCCCAAAAATAATGTTTTTGGAATTAATTCTTCCACAAACTGGATATTTCTATTGTTTCAGGTTTAAGGACAACATCAGTAGGGCCTCGAAAGTGTTTTCAGATAAACCGATGTCACCGTTGAACACGGCTATTTACTGGATAGAATATGTCATTCGACACAAGGGAGCGCATCATTTAAAACCGCTGGCGGCTAAGATTCCCTGGTACCAGTTATTCCTCTTAGATGTTGTAGCTGTATATTTATTGGTGTTTGTGGTGATAATTTATCTCACAGTAAAACTACTCTTCTTTTTCCTCAGAAAAATTGCACAGATACCAAAATCTTCAAGAGACAAAAAGAAAAAGCAAAAATAAAACCGTGTCTTATTCCGAAACTGTGTTTTTATATCTGTATCTACCTCATCCTCATACACCCTGCATACCTCATCTTGAAAGTTTCACTCAAATCTAAAAATAAGACATATTCACGCGGAGAGAGAAGGCAGTGGCTGAAACCTAGTGCCACACAGTGGTCGGAATAGAAAAGACTTTGAAACAATTTTGACTTGAAAATTATTTCCGGGTACCTAGCATTTATTTTTTTCAAAAATTGATGGAAACTGAGAGAAAGGTTTCTTTTCAATAATGTATAATCTATTAATTCAGTTTTTTTTCACAAATCATACAACAAAGCATATACCATTCTGCTGCGGCATTTGATTCACCTACATACAAACACGTAATTAATATTTGGGTATTTTCCCTAGTAGTTACATATCTCTCAGTACCAGTTTCTAATCTTATCTATCGCAAGTTTTTACTTTATAGACCAATTAAAATTTTGAAGCGGATTGACCCTCACACTTATCAAGACTGCAAATGCAAGAATGCAACTTATTTCTGTTTTCAATTCAGATTATAGATAATTAGAACAATAATCATTTCATGGCTAAGATCGAAAGTATGTCACCAAGCTGTGTAGATTGCCTGTGCATCTTATAAAAGTTACGACACGACAGTGAAAACGAATTTGACCTTTTAAGTCGTCGCTTGGCTGATATAAGGGCGTAACTACACATTATGATGAGCCCGGAGAAGCATTGTGTTGAATGGACAACAGGGTTCATCGTAAAATGTAGTTACGCCCTTTTGTCAGGAGGACGACAAATTAGTCTTCACTTTCACAAATCAAGAACTGATTAGGAACGCCAATTCATGAAAATATCATTATATAATACGTACATAGATCGTCTAAAACTCGATATTTGGAATGTTAATTGGTACATCTTCACTATTTTCCTTCACTCCTCTTCCTCAGTTCTTTTGACAATCTACCAATTTTAACGAATAATGCAGTCCTCAGTTTGCTGTTCCGAGTCGAGTTTAATTCGCGTTTTTGTTTTTATTTTTCAATGAGCCAATTTTTACAATTTTAATAAACAGAACTTTTCATCATGGAATTGTTTGTCGCATCAGTGGTGGTTTCAATTTTTTGTCAAATAGTTTTAAATACTCATGCAGTTGAGATCTCAACGCGAAGCGGTGTCGTGATTGGGTCCGATCACCTTCGAAGTCGAAGCGGAGAAGTACTTTACAGTTTTACAGGTATCCCTTACGCGCAACCACCGATTGGAAGACTCAGATTCAAAGTAAGTAAGATGTAATGTAGCATAGCCACGCATGATGCTTCGGAGTGCAGGTTGAATTTAATTTGATTGTACCCACCTCAAAATCTCAAGTCAGAGGTTTAACCAGGGTAATTTACTTGCTTTTAATCAAATATCAAAGTTCACGGAGAAAAATCTATGGCTTTATGAACTAATTGGTGGTTCATATGGGGTTATAGGACATTTCGTCAACGATTTTTTGTCCACGCACCTGTTTTTTCCAGTAATTTATGTCAACGCGTTTTTTCGGAACGGGAGTTTTGGTCCACGTGCCAGTTGAGACCCAAAGTTCATTGGCCCACATGTAAATACAAACGACAATTGCTCACGACGTTTTTGGATGAAAATTTAAAATGTCTTGGAAGAATGAGGGTTTGCTTGTTTTTTTGTTTTGTTTTGTCTGTTCCGTCCAACGGAGAATAATATATAGTTGAGAGTTTTGGTAAAAATGGGGGAGCGTCAATTCCACGAGACAAAATTCACTAAAACTCTCTACACCTCTTTGGTGTAACAGGACTTAATTATCTTTCAAGATTTTCCCACCCTGTTATACCTGAACCGAATAAACCTCTATATTTGCCTCAGCTAAAGGCTCATAGATTTTTCCAGTGTACGATGAGTATCTTGATTTATTTTGCGAGGAAGGATCTGTACTTTTAAAGGATGCCTGTCATTCTTAATACGTTCAATCTCGTATAATACCGTGCAACACCTCTGTTGTGAAATAGTTGCTTCAGGCGCCGCCGCACGGCGGGCGGGCGGCCAGCGCAAAACGCGCATTGGCGCCTACAAACCTAAGTGGATACTTCAAGCATTGCGTGAAGTATACACTTAGGTTTGTAGGCGCCAGTGAGCCTCTCGCGCTGGCAGCAAGCCGCTCCGCTCTGTCAGGTTTTAATATTTATACTCGCATAGTCAGCGTTTTTTAACTCATGATTTTGAAATGTTTGCACACTCTGCATTGATTATTCTCAATTAAATTTTCTCTAGTTAGAGCTCTTATTGATGAGCCAGAAAAAGCCAGTCTCTTGTTGCAAAATGCAGGCCAAAAGAAATACGCTATTGATAGTTACATAAATTGTTTCCAAAATGTTTCACGCAAAAAAGTAACTGTCCCTGATATGGAAACAATTATCTAAATTACAGAAGAGGGCTGTTAATTTTTGATTTTCGTATTGTTGTTGTGCTTCAGGTATCTGAGCCGGTTATACCATGGCAAACACCATTCAACGCTACGGAAAAGTGTCCCGTATGTGCGCAGGTAAAACGGATCGGATCGACACCTGGAAAACTAGAAATCATTGGACAAGAGGACTGTCTCCGTCTCAATATATACTCACCTGCAGTAAGATAGACTGTCATTAGTTTCTGTACTTTGTATGAATGCTACTTTAAGAAAAGTAAATCAACGACGATGAAGAAAGTAAAAGGAAGAGCAATATGGGATCGTGAAATGGATTAATCATAATTAATGCGCGGCATCATCAGAAAAAGCGAGCTTGATGAGACTAAAGGGCACCCAAATTTTTTATCTTCGGTGATGATTGGCATCGATATACCTAACGAGGCAAAAAATTTTGGAAAAATGAGAGAGAAAAATTAAAGATTAATTCCGACGATAGTGATATGATGTTCTGAAGTAATTAGTGAGAATGTAGTACTTAATGTTCAGGATGATAAAAAATGCCAAATATTTATAACGCGCAATTAAATGATGATTGGTCCATGCGCTGAAATCAAGCAAATTGCTGCTGGATATAAGCGACTTTCCTCTTGAAATAAGCATCTTTCCTTCTTTGTCCAAGAGAAATATCTTTCTCGAAACAAATTCATTAATTTTCTCCCTTGCATCAAGGCACTATTTTCTCCAGTGTTGCTGAACGCGCCTCCAGACTTTGTTTTTAGATCAAGGACTGCACAGGGTGTTGTAGAACCGCCTGTGCACCTACTATTAGGTGAACCTACGTGAAACCACAAGCGAAATTGGAGGTGACACTAAAGGTGTGAAATTGTCAAAATTAAATTTAATTGAAATAAAGTGTTAACTATTTATTTTTCTACTTATTGTAAGAATTGTATATATTACATGAGCAATCGACTGTAAGCAATTTCCGATTTATTGCCTAACTTTTCATTCTCGAAAAATCGAGATAATTGGGGAGGAACAGAATAACCCGATATAAACCGTGAAATTTTTCTCCTAAAGATTACGATTTTCAAGTTAAGGTGATTCGATGGACGCCATATTTTGTGTCAGAACGGCATGCGATATATCGCATCAATTGGCTCCATTTTTTCAGCTGCTCGTCGTTTTTCTCCAATTTTGAGATCGCAATTCTGTTGTCAGGAGACTAAAGCACTCACTTACCAATTTTAACAAAGAAATTCAACGTAATAAAGGCGTAGTTATTTTAGAGAGAAAACATCGCATTCGATACTGATATCGAAACTGCACTCGAATGCAATATTTTCTCTCTAAAAAAACCACGCCTTTATTACGTTGAATTTCTTTGTTAAAATTGGTGAGTGAGTGCTATAGTCTCCTGACAACAGATTGAGACCTCAAAATTGGAGAAAAATGACGAGTAGCTGAAAAAATGGAACCAATATGATGCGATATATCGCATGCCGTTCTGACACAAAATATGGCGTCCATCGAATCACCTTAAAAATATGTCGAAGTAGCGTCCGTGAGAGATTCAATTTTCAAAATTTTCCGGAAGAGGTCCCCCAGACTCCTCTCTTACGGGGGGGTTTCCCCTCAGAACCCCCACTCACGCGCCAACAAGATGGTTCTAAATCTCTCGGCACCCACAAGCACAGAGGTCTATGAACCGCCTATACCAAGGAGTCTTCTTTTATTAAAATGGATCATATTTTCCCCACTGATTTCTTTCAAAAATGCTTTTAAATTCCTCTTCGTTTTGAATTCAGCTTGATGTAAAGAAAAAACTTCCTGTCATGCTGTTCCTTCATGGCGGTGCTTACAAGATGTTCTCCCCTATGGCCGAACCACAGTTTTTGCTGGATGAGGGAAACGTGGTGCTTGTTGACCTCGCCTACAGGTTAGGTCCTTTAGGTACGTAAATAACAGCGTATTTATAATTTTTAAATATCTACAAATACGACCCAAAACCCATGCCCTAGTAGAAATTGCGCAATGCGCTCACAATGGACCACTAGACAAGAAACGAATTTAAGCAATCTGATACATGTTTCTTGACCAGAATTTCACGAAGAACACGATTCACGCAACAAAAATTACTGAAACAAACTCCCAACGGAGATATTAACATTTTTATCTCACATCGGTTACGCGGATTTTGAACTGCCCGCTGACAAGAAACTCAAAGCTCTACGCGAGTCAAATCGCGCACTATAACGGTTTCAGCAAGCTTCTCAATCGAGCAATGTTCATTCCCCACCATGAGTTTTCCAAACTATAAGTAATTTGCTCTAGCTGAGCCAAAGCGTCAAGATTGAGGTTGCCAGATTTGTATATCGCAGAGACTGTCATGATATCGTTTAACGCGCGATGTGAGTCACGTATAGCATTGAGTTTTCATGAGCGGGTGGTTTGAATTCACGCATCAAGAATCATTTAATTTCTTCGTAAGGAGTTGATTTCGGTAAATTTTGTTGTGCGCATCGTGTTCTACCTGAGATTTTGGTTGAGAAACATGTATCAGAATGGTGAAATTGGTACTTTGTCTAGTGGTCCATAATTGCTTATTTCTGAAAGTTCGAATGATATTTTGCAGGCTTCCTGACAACTGGTGATGAGGTTATACCCGGAAACTTAGGACTGAAGGATCAACTGCAGGCGCTGAGGTGGTTACACGAAAATGTAGAGTATTTCGGAGGTGATCCAAATACTGTTACCGTCTTTGGTGATAGTGCTGGAGGTGCTAGTACTCATATTCTCCTTCTTTCCCCTCTCTCCAAAGGTTAGTGTCCTATAAGAATAATCGTTTTACCGTTTTTGAAAAATAAGAAATTTTGGTTATTTCCATTGGAAATTCAATTTTCCAATACTCGATTTGCAAATCAAAGAGAACACATAAAAAATCTCGTGGAGAAGTAACTAAAATGTATGTTTTGGTTGAAAAATGCGCCATTTTGCGATGAATTGTGTTGTACATGCAGTTTTAAAATGCCGGTTAAATAGACACATTTTTAACTGATCTCAACTGATGCCAACAAAAGATTTGACTGGTGTTACAAATAGTTCCGATCAGTGGAAAATTTAACTATTCAGCTGGCTCATCGACACTGTGCTACTGGTCACTTATTAGGGTTGTAAATTTCACTTTACCTACCCTAAAATTGACAAAGTATTTTGAAACTATACTTTAACTTTGAAGGCATTCTTGGATTGTTTTTGGCCAAAAATAACTTTAAGTCTCCCATAATTTCTGTATAATGAGTCCTGCGGAGTATTGGATGGAAGTGCAGAATTTTCCCACCGCGGTGGGGGGAAACCAAACTATTTGTATTCAAAGTGAATCAATCACGCCCTAACACAGAAATTTCCGTCCTTGTATCATAGGATTACTGCATCGTGGTATATCTATGAGTGGAACAGCCGCTTGTCCTTGGGCTATGGTATCTCGCGAAAGGGCTGCAGATAGAGCAAAAGCTCTTGCTCTTTTAGCCGGGTGTCCTGCTGAGCCGTCAAAGGAACTTCTAAAATGTCTACAAGCCTTACCCCTGAGAAGCATTTTAGCGGTGGAAAAAAAATTCGGGGTTAGTATTTTTGGTAAATTTTCAAGCTGATTAATAACATTTAGATGCACTTCTGCCAAACGAAACTATACTGCCGTAATAGCGAAGGGATCACTAAGTGTCAAAGTTTCGAAATCGAGTTTCCTTCAAAATTCGTCTAAAATCTCTTTTGGATGAAATCGCATTAAAATAGCTAAAGCAGCAAATTCATCTTAATTGTGCGAAAACTAAACTTATGAGAAAGCCGTAAGTGCGCTCAGGCAAGAGCAGAAGTGACATAATGCTTCCAGAAAGCTGATGGAGACAGTGCTTTTCAGTACACCCTCTTCTGCCAATTTCTAACCTGAAAATGTGTTTGTTGTGTGTTCAAAATGCAACTTTGAAAGCATGTAGAGGATAGCACTTACGACTGTCTTGCCTAACATTAGCCTAACACGAAAATCAATTGAGCGATACTTGTTTATGTATTATATATTGCTTTTTTAATTGACTCATTTTTCATTTCTGCTTCAATTGCGTTTATGTCACAGAATGAATACATGTTGCCCATCGCATCATTTGGACCAATAATTGAGGGACCAAATGCTCAAAATGCATTATTGTCGGATGACCCCGGAAAAATTGAATCGGAGATTCCCTGGATCACTGGAATAACTTTTGCCGAGCATTTGGGTTATACAGCAAGTGAGACAATTTTTCTAAAATCGTAACTTTGAGCTACTTAATAGTCAAAGTATAAAGGGTAATTAGTCTTCATGAGGTTTTTGGTTTTCATAAAGATAAAAGAGGAATGGACAATAAGGGAGGAGGGAGCGCAAGGAAGATAAACAAATAATGTACTTATTTTGAACTGTGCCCTAACGACAACGAAGATTATTCACTAAGAGATAGAAGTAAAGAGAAGGAACCAAAACAAAATTCATGATTTACACGATTTAAAGAGAATATTGGATATTACAAAGGCTTGTAATGGTTTTCAGTTCTCATTTCTTTTTCCAGTTGAGTAACAATCATACTATTGTAGTAAAAAATAGTTCAATTCCGATATTAATTCTTTGGATCCGATCAGTAGCAAGGCGTGAATGATCGATCATCGATATTTCCCGATTTGAAGCTATGGTAAAGAATCGATTGTTTAAAAGGGAGTTGCGAAAACCCTGTTTATTGATTATTTTCCTTGGGTTTTAATGACAGATCAATCGATATATTGCAAAGCACGCAACGCCTCCAGTGCCGATAGAAATGTTTCATTGTTACCAGAATCAAAATAATCGTGACCACATTTTCACTCATTCTGAAATTTTTACTTGTGACATTTTTTACCCATGGACTTTTTTACTTTGGACATTTTTGTACTCTGTACATTTATTTTGGACATTTTGTCTTATTACCGTGACCACAAGAATAACATTGTAACTAAGACCAAAAAGTAGGTGGGGTTAGTAGCAGAAATGTTCAGAATTATGCAGAATGCGAAATGTTTTTGTTGAGAAATAGAATTGACGGTGATTTCATTATTTTACAGAATTTTATGCAACAGTTAAGAAAAATGGACTGAACTTGGAAGAGGAGCTCGATGTATTCCTGGAGAGGTGGCTTCTGGAGGGATTTAATATTCCAAGAGAAAAAATTTCCTCTGCAGCATCACGGATTAAAGAATTTTATTTTGGAAATTTGCCTCTCAGCAGGAACACTCTGGAAAAAATGGATGACGTGAGAAAAAGCAAAGTTCCCTAGTTGTGTTTGCGGAATTACTTTTTTTATTTACGTTATTCCCGTTTTTCTGGGCGAAGTTTATTTACAGCGGCTGGTGACTTTGAGCTAGAAATTGTAGTTCCGAATAAATGCAGCTTCATGAATATTTTTATCAATGGAATATTTAAATTCTTTTGAAATGTTTGGAATATTTAAATTTTAATGGAAGGTGTTGGAGTAGGTCCCCCCAGGTAGGCGACGGAGAGGGCGTCCAGCCAAGCGGTGGGTAGAGGGCATCCAAGAGGGGATAGAGAGATGCCAGCTTCCGGAGGATCTCTACCATGACAGATTCCTGTGGAGAGTAGGCGTCGCAGAGCGCCCTAACGCGCCGTAAAAGCGGCTCATACATACATACATATTTAAATTCTAGGCTTACATGGATTGGTTTGATAACGATTAGTATATTTTCTATTATTATGTAGTCCAAATGGTCATGCCATCGATGAGCAACGAGGGAGCCGACGCGTAAAAGTCGTCCCACTTGCATGCTTCTATTTAGAATTTTTCATGAAAATATGCCATAAAAGAGAAGAAAATAAGTTAGGTTTTATGCAATGTTTTATCATTTGAAACGAATATAATTCCAACAAAATACGAAAAATTCAAAATCATAAGTTCAAAACCGCTCACGCCGCAAGATTGAATTATCGCGGCAAACACAGTGCGGCCGGCGCGGGACTGCCGGGAACGGCACGGAACGCAAAGAAGCGCCTTACAAGACCGCAGGATACTTCATGCATTGCGCGTACAGCACGGCGCGCGCGCGACGCATAGTTAGCGCCTTACAAGTCTGCAGGGATGCTTCATGTATTACGCGTGTGTACCACGGTGCGCACGGTGGGTGCTTGCTCAAGTCGTTGAAAACTCGTGTTTTCTTGGTGTCAAACCTACCCCGGTGTACAACATTTCCGAAAAGTGCACACCGCGAGCTTACAATCCTCGGATCACAGAATTGTAGAGACTTGCGATCCTGTATTTTTTCCGGTGGAAATATAATTTACGAACTGAATTTTTTCAAGTTGGAATGCTGTTACATTTTGTATTTTTTCCGATGAACATATAATTTACGAGTGGAATTTTTTAAATTTAGAATGCTGTTACGTTCTATAGTCCGGAAAACGTCGAAATTAGCTAACTTCCGGGAAGAGAAAGTGGACTTTTTTTTTTTTTTTATCACAGATCTGACAAGCTTCAAGCTTTCTATTCTAGACTTAAATACTGCAAGCATACCATGAAATGAACGTTTCTAAAATTTGCAGATTATCGGTGATGGGTGGTTCCTGATGGGTCTCATTGACGCTGCATCGGGGCACAAAGGAGCAACGTACCTTTATTACTACGACTACTTGCAGCACAATGTTTCTTTTGCTTCTGTGATTGGACCTGGTTTAAGTAGAGGTTAGATTTCGTAAACAATTCTAATTGAATATCTTAAACTGAAAAAATTATGGTAACATCTAATATAAGTCTACAAGGTTTTATATACCGTGAAACTATTTAGTAAAAATAACCAGAATAGTAGTATTTACTAGCACTCTGGTGATACATACCACAATATTTTAAATGCAACCATAAAACCTGGTGTTCATTACCATACTTGTATCACTGTGTCAGAGTATGGTAAGTAAAATATACCATATTTTTTTCAGTGTAGAAAAAAGAAAGAAATATAGAACAAGTTTTCTGGATAACCCATTCATAGGGAACCAGTATTTTTGGCGGGTATGCGGATCCCAACCACTCTAATTTTTAACTTAGTCTCTTCAATTTTGTAAAAAATGGGGGGGGGGGTTGATAACTCAATCTAACGTCATTTTTAAGAGATAAATAAGGCTGCATACAGGTACCTTACGAGAGGGAGAGTGACGAAATTTGGAAAAACCCCTGGCATTTCTGTTATCATTTGTGCAGGACCTGAAAGAGAGGAGGATAATTAAAAAATCGAATCTTTTATGCTAATAAAGTGATAAAATAGAGAAATAAACCAGTATACCAGAATACGCGTTTTGGGACCAGAAGTTTATTATCTTGGATGCGTTTCGGGAGGAAGAAGAAAAATGAAGCTTCAAAATTCACTCTGTTAGTTTCCTCTAAAATCGTAACTTATATTCAGTACCTAGTTTAATCATTTAATCTTTTTGACTCTAAATTTTTAATTATTTATTTATTCATGGTTTTATTTACTTATGTATTACATTTTGATATATCTATGTATGATTTGATCTTTTGGGCAGAGTTGCGCGCAGGTCATCAAGACGATTTGTTGAGCATTTTCCCAATGACCTCCTTTTTCCCTGATAGATATATGACCGGAACGGACTTGCAAGTCTCGAGAAAAATGGTGTATCTTTGGACTCATTTCGCCAAGTATGGGTACGTTATCATTAGAGTTCTTCTCTTATTCTTTTAAATATTTATATTAATGCCACAAAATTAGTTAACATTGCGACATGATTTGCAGCATTTTTATTTCATGTATGTACTTTTATACACGTGCAGAGCGTGTCGTTCGCAGCCCATTAAATTATATTTTGTCTCTGCTTTAAATAGTTAAATAGCATGCAATCCAAATAACTATAATTGTTTTGTTGGAGAAAACAAAACATTTGTTAAAAATTTTCTGGATAAAACTAATTGATAATTTATTTTTCCTTTTTCCAGAAATCTCTCTACAAATACAATGACTCAATGGGAGCCGATCGAGAAAAATACTTCGGAATATAAGTACTTATACATTAATGCAACAGACTTCACGCTGAAGAGTGATTTATTGGCGGATAGAGTCAGCTTTTGGAGGTCTCTCAGAAACTTATGATGAACGCACATCAGACTTTGCAAAATTTAATTAAATTTCATTTAACTGCTTAAATATATATGTTGTTGACTTCTAGGAATTTGATTTTTTACATGTACAAGAATCTGCATCCTTTGTGCTGATGGATGTAATTGAACGGATTTAATATGAGTCAGGCGGACTATAATTTTTTTTGTTTTATTTTTTCAACAGAAGAATCACCATCGCCCTGACTAGAAATTGTGTGGCTTTATGGTTTCTGAGTTTGAGATAGCAAATAGTTTTGAGGCATTGTCGTTTGATTTTTCTGTTAAAAAAATGAAACGTACGTGAAAGTTAGGAGACATAAGATGCAGTTAGGATTCCAATTAAATTCTTCAAATTTAAAGATTTTCATCATTATCGAAGAAAAAAAGAAAAAAAAATTGATGAACTTTTTTGAAGAAATAAGAATCGTTCCAAAAACTACAGAGATTTTTCCTCGTGCTGATTTATTACATTGTACACCAGGATTACTTTTTGCAAAATGCAAATACTTCTCCTGGGTCATTCATAAAAGCGCCTTTCTGCATATCGTCACCTTCCAGGCAAAGTATCACAAGCGCCACGCGACGTTTAAAAATTTCCGCCGCCATTTTATTTTTTTACAGAGAAATTGTTCAACGAAGCTGTCCGAAAATTTCACTGAATTTTCTTTGTGCTTCCGATAAAATTTAGTGAAATTTCCAAACAGATTCAACCAACAATTTCTCAGTAAAGCACGTTTAAAAATTTCCGCCGCCATTTTATTTCTAGAAATAAAATGGCGGCGGAAATTTTTAAACGTCGCATGGCGCTTGTGATACTTTGCCTGGAAGGTGACGATATGGTTATAGACATGGCTCACTCGCTGTTTCTGAAACTGCAAGAACTGGATCGCGGTTTGCTGCAGTAGACTTCCCGTCATGCAGTCTATTTTATCCGTGAAAAATTACTCAATGTCATTTCTTGATACCCTGATTTTTCTTCTCTACACGAAGAACTCTCCTAAGAAAATTCAAAGCAATTGTGTTGGTTTGTTCTACTTTGATTAAATATAATGGAAACAGCGACTTTGAAATCTCTCAAACCAGTTTCGCATTTTTTTAGTTTCGCCGTTAATACGACCTATCTACTAATGCGAGCTATATTAGAGCATATCTATGATATTACTTTCCTTATCAAACGGAACAGAAAATCTGTTCCAAAATTAGATACTTCAATTGTTAATCAAACTGTCAACTTCAAAACTTCGATGACTATTCCCTCTCAAGAAATAATTTTTGAAAATTCGATACTTCAATACTTCATCAACCTGTCAATTTCAAATCTTCAATACGACTTGGTAAACTCCTATGTGCTCATCTTTTCCTCTAAACTTTACTTTCAGTGATATATTTCCACTTGAAAAGCTTTCCTTCCCACTTTTAGAACATCATCGATATAGAATTATCATGAGATTCCACTTGAACTCAAAACCACACCACACACTATCCAAAACCACTCCAGTTTAAATGTATCTTCCATTCAGTTTTTTGAGCGCATTTCCTTCTTCAACGTGTATCAACTTGTATTTGAGATAATCAGCAGGTTTTGATTACTGTATAACAATGCTAAAATTGGCGGAATATGATAATCGATTGAAGTGCTTCAAAATTCTTAGTGTCCAATTCTGCTAATCATAAAAGCTGCACATGAAATATTGATACATTTCCGGAGCTGATTAGCGGCTGTCCATAAATTATGTAATGCTCTAGCAGAGGGCAGCTATGTATCTTCATAAGTTTTTGAAAAAGTGTGTCCANNCGGGGGGGGGGGGGGTAATCAAGCTCAGCGTTAGGTAACAGTCTTTTTACTATGCATTTCAACTTTTTTTCCCAAATGTTTTTGGCAATTGTCCTTTCAACGCTTAAAAGTGAAATGAGTTTGCTGCAAACTTTGTTTAAAACTTTAAGAATTTCAGGTATTGTTAGTAGAATTTCATGCGATAATCTGAATGGCAGTACCCGGCAAAAATAGCTGAAAATTGCATTTTAGATAAGCTAAATTTTCAAAATTTTCTGAGGGAGGCCTCTAGGACCCCCCTTGTCCTGGGGGGTATTTCATACCCCCCACACTCCCCGGTGGGTGGACTTATGTTCTGCACCCACGAATCAAAAGCCCACGCGCCACCACTGATTTTGTTGACTTTGTTGAACCTACCGCAGGATTTGGCTCGTGTTCTTTAGGATTTGGCTGAAAATCAGACAATAGATTCTGATGAGTCCAAAATCCAACGTTGATAGAACAGTCATTGATCAAAAAAATTATCCGTATCCAGTCGCAAAAATTCGTCTTAAATGTTTTCATACATATAAAACAGCAAGTACTTTTTCTACTCACAAGGGGAATCTCCCAAGCTGCCGCCTCTGATTAAGCTGTAAAAATTCGTACGAACTCTTTGGATGAATCCACTAGAACCATTTGTTTTTGTTTTTTTCCGATACGCCTTGGAAACACTCTCAAAAAATTCCGAAAAGTCCGGTCTTGAGCGCGCGTCGACGCGCCGCACAGTGGACCGAGTCAGTTAGAGAGGTCGGACATGACATTTTTAACAAAAACTGCGAATTTTGTTGTCTAATTCGTCTTATTTTAAATTTCAACGGGTGGTTTCAGAAGAAAATTCAACGAGAAACCCGATGAGACCACTTTTATGACCTCAAAGTTTAGTATAAATGGAGTTATAAGCGTTTAAAGTTTCCAAGTTTTGCCCGACCTCTCCTATTGACTCGACCCACTGTGCGCCGGAGGACTGGGTGAGGCAAAGGAGCGCTACTACTTCCCCTTGCCTAGCCCTCCCGGCGCACATTGAGTGTGCGGCGCGCACTGTCAGCATAAAACCAAAAAAATGCCGAATACATGATTATCTTCCACAAAATCCGATTTTGCATAGTGCGACAGCACTGAAAAAAAATTCTCGGCGTTTTTACCAAGGTCCGTAGGTACCTTTACCATCTCACTTTTTTCTACCAATTATTGGTAATTTTACCGAGACAGACTGGTAAGCTTACCTAAAAACCGGTATTTTTACTGTTTTATCCCAGGTAAGAATACCACTTTTATTGGTAATCAATTCCCGGTAACTTTGCCATTTTATCCCGGTAATTTTACCACAGTCGATAAAAAATATTGGCATTTTTACCAAGGTCCAGTAAAATCCCCAAGAAAGTTCAACAATTTTACCGAGATTTCTCGGTAAAATTACCAATTCCATAAACGGTAATTTTACCAAGAAAAAACTGGGATGAAATAGAACCCTGAATTCTTGGTAATTTTACCCTTTTCTTAGTAAATACACAGAGATTTTTTTTTCAGTGCAGCCCCCCCGGCGCACATTGGGTGTGCGGCGCGCACCGTCAGCATAAAACCAAAAAAACTGCCGAATACATGATTATCTTTGTTCTAAAAAATCCGATTTTGCATAGTGCGACAGCACTGCTATATCCGAGCAGTATCATAATTTGGACGTATTTCTGTCAAACGGAACTAAGTGCATTATGACGTGAGCCCTGTTATGCATGTATTTTTATGGATCTCAGGGCTCATGTCTCAGTGCACATAGTTCCGTTTGATAGAAATACGCCCATTTAACAAAAGCTCCGGATGGTCACTCGGGGTCAGTATCATCGCATTCATTGATGTTAAATGGGCGTTCGACATTGGCCTTGACACTGCCCTTCAGAGTTTCGTGGTTTCCCGTCTTGCGTCACATCGATGAATGAACTTCGTCTGCTAGAAGCTGTTTATCTCCAACTGCTCTGCGCAGACGGTCGTTTCGTGTCGTCTGCGCAGAGTGAAGTCATCGCCCCCCTACGCTACTACCCATGCCAAAAATGTCTCACTCAACAATTTTGTCTTCAAATAATATAGATTTTGCGCTTTCAACTGTTTCCTTCCGTTCATTTAAATTAAGACAGTCGAATTTGGTAAGAAACTAAATTTCGATAATTCAGACTTTCTCCTTGAAAACACGACAGTTGAGGCCTAACCATTCGCTTTTATAGCGCTATGTTTTCATACGGGTAGTACCGACTCACGGCCACGCCGCGCCGCACATTGGTTCCAGAGCCCGATCTAGGCGGCATTAATTAGAATATCACCCTTACCAGCGTGCAAAATATGCTTATATGTGTTTTTTGGGTCGCTGATCACGAATTTAAAGTCGATTTGACCCTATCGTTAACCATAATATGGTTAATATGCGTAAAATAGCAAATTCGCACTCAACACGGGATTAATAATTTGACAACGTGGCTCTGTGCTTGAACTATGATAATCTTGACAAATTTAATGATTATGGTCATCAAGAGCGATCGACCATTTTACTAATATTTAGACCCTGATGGTTATTTTTGTTGAAGAGGGGGGGGGGTGTTGTTACATTGAATAACTTCACGAAGCATCCCGTCAGCACGATCTGTTTTTGGAATCTACATCTGGTTCCAGTTTCAGAAATGGCAGTATAAAAATTCAATAAAAGGGTGTCGCCCCTATCAAACCATTTCGACCAGTGAGCAGGAAAAAATTCACGAAACTGCAATGCCTGTTGATTTTTTAATTCCAGAGCAACCTTAAATTTAAAATGTTG